GCGGCCCCTTCCCTTCCTTCAGGTCATTCTGGCCCGGCAGTATGGCTCTGAGGGCAGGTTCACTTTTACCTCCCATACCCCTGGTGAGCACCAGATCTGTCTTCACTCCAATTCCACCAAGTTCTCCCTCTTTGCTGGAGGTATGCTGGTAAGTGGACCCATGTGGGACTTGCTGCTTTCAGCTTCGGTCCGTTGGTTATGAATGGGGACTGGTGGTACTGTGGGTGTGAGATGCGTATGTCAGATTTTATGTCTCCTGAGAACACTGGGTTTCCAGTGGACTTGTAGCACACAGTGGCTGAGCCTTTCATATGCCTTGGTCAGAGCATCAGCTTATTGTTCTTGGTCATGTGTCCAAGCCCTATAGGGCTAGACACTGATGAGGCCTTAGTCCGTTGCCTAAATGAACAGATGAAGGAATGTCGGGGATCGGCTGTCGGTCTCTGGCAGGAAGTTGGAGCAGAGCTGCCTCATTCCCCTTGTCTCCCTTGTTTGTCCCCAGAGAGTTCACCTGGACATCCAGGTGGGTGAACATGCCAACGACTATGCAGAAATTGCCGCCAAAGACAAGTTGAGTGAGTTGCAGCTACGAGTGCGACAGCTGGTGGAACAAGTGGAGCAGATCCAGAAAGAGCAGAACTACCAGCGGGTGAGGCCCTGGGCTGGGAGTGGTGGGCTCCCAGAAGCTCCCCATTGGCCCAGCCAGGAGTGGCATGTCAGATACGTCATGAGACCCCTGAACTGACCTGTGCTGCACTGCAGGTCTAAAGGTGGGGCAGGTATTTCTAACCGTACCTTGTATTAGTAATTGAGGACACTGACTCTTAAAGAGGCTGTTATTGCTCTAAGTCACAGTTACACACAGAAGGGCAGAGTGGGCTTTGATCCCAACACCTTGGGTGCTGCTTCAGTGGCTCCAAGGACTACGGCGTCTCACATTCACCTGTGACCAGGAGCCAGTGTACCAAGAATGGTCCATGACCATAAGGACTATTAGGGCAGTGACCCATCTAAACAGGAACAGCTACTGTTCAGTGTCAGCTGAGGGTTTCCTTGCAGAAATGCCAGCCATGGGTGTCCAGATATTAAACTTTTTCAAGAGGAGCTAGAGGTCCAGGTTTTTTATGTGAAATTTTCTTGAGTTTTAAATGTTGGCAAAACGATGTGTGAGCCAAACCACATGTAAAGGCCAGATGCAGGCCCAGGCCACCAGTCTGCAACCTGTTCCCACAATCTTCAAGGAAGACCTGGACAGAGTGCTCAGATAAAGTCCACTTCTGAGCACTGCAGGACAGCTCTGTCCCATGGAGTGACACCACAACTACCCCCGCCTATCCCCCATGCATCAGACTAGGTGGGGACTATACCTGACAAATGAAGAGACAGACATAGGAGAAATGAGCAGGTTGCCTGAGGTATCTGGCTGGTGAGGGTGAAGACAGTCCCCAGGTAGTGACTCTTTGTAGGTACTTGGCTGGAACCTGGACAAAGCTGGGCAGCCCTGGGGCACCGCTGCAGGCTGGGAACCCAGCAATTCCAGTGACCCCAGCCAACTTGGGCTTGCCTTCCATTCTTCCCCACAGTGGCGAGAGGAGCGCTTCCGACAGACCAGTGAGAGCACCAACCAGCGGGTATTGTGGTGGTCCATTCTACAGACCCTCATCCTCGTGGCCATTGGTGTCTGGCAGATGCGGCATCTCAAGAGCTTCTTTGAAGCCAAGAAGCTGGTGTAGCCATCCCAGGCCTCACAAGCCATCCTCCCAGGCTGGGGGAGAAAGGACCTCCTGGAACTGACTTCTCTCTGGCAGGAGGACTGCTTCTCAGATGTAGATGTTCTGGAGGGGAGAGGGGCTGCAGGTACCCCCAGGCACAAGCTGGGGGCAGCAGCTTGGCTGACTGATACTGAGTAGATGGTAGGGCAAATGCCTTCCCTCTCCCCTGGCCTCTGGGCTCTTTGCAGTAATCACCCAGGGCTGGTGAAGCCACTGGGAGCTCCAATGGCACCTCAGAATCACAGTGTTACTGATCAGGGAAGTGAGGCTGCTGTCTGGGTGGATGGGGGAGGGGGAGGGGTGGGCAAGCCAGTTTTCCTTCTGTCTTCCTTTGCTAACTTGGGATTTTGAGGAGGTTCGGGTATGGCTGTGATTCCCTGCCACCCTGGTAACCTCGCTCTTCTCTCTTTTGGCCTAGACCTGCTGATCCAGGGTGTGTGTGTGTCAATTGAGGGTAGGGTGGAGGGGGTTGCAGTGTGGGAAAGTGGCCCCGTGGTTGACCCTGGCTGCTTCACATGGTCATCCATTCTGGGGCTTGAGGAACTGGGGTCAGGCCAAGCAGAGGCCTTGGTGCTGGTTGGGGTTGGGGCCTACAGAGTCTTAGTTACTGATTTCATTTTCAATAAGTCTAGGTTTGTTACATTGGTTTCCCAATAAAAAAAAAATTGACTTCTTGTTCAGTGTGAATTTACTCAACTATCATTGGGCATAACACTGCAAGATGCTTCAGAGAATGTCAGTTCTTCCGATGGGCAAAGCGTTTCACATTCCAAAATGAATTCCTATATCTCAACTTCATTCTTTCTATTCTCTCCAGGCCTTCTGGTGGTGGGGAGTAGTGGGTTTGTCCAAGACCATCCAGCAAATAAATACAATGGAGTTGGGCTCAAATCCATACCATTCCTCTGTGCCAGGTCCCTTGTGAAGTGCCCTCCCTTTCCAGACCCAGTGGATAGGATTGTCATGGATGTTGCAAAAAGGTTCCTGGTAAGGAAGGTGCATTGAGCTTCAGGTGTGGGAAGGACAGAGTCCCTGCCTGGTGAAGATGAAGGTGTTGATGGGCTTAACCAAGAGCAAGTGACTTCAGCAAGGACTGTTAAGGAAAGAAGAATTCTGATGACATGGCAGGGCAGAAGTGGGTGGGGGAAACAGGCAAAGAACTGGTATGGAGATGGATGTTCTTTCAGCTGGAAGGGAGGATTGTGGGGAAGTTGGGAAGGTTGGATGAGAGAGAAGAGGTAAAAATCATAAAACATGGAAGGTGTATATTGGTTTGGCCTGAAAAGGTGGGATGTCTTGAAGCAGGGGCTTACAGCTTATAGGTGGGGTCAGAGATTCTTTGATTTATAATTGGTAAAAGACATAAAGCTTTTTTTTTTTTTTTTTTTGAGACAGAGTCTCACTCTGTTGCCCAGGCTAGAGTGAGTGCGGTGGCATCAGCCTAGCTCACAGCAACCTCAAACTCCTGGGCTCAAGCGATCCTGCTGCCTCAGCCTCTGCTTCTGCCTCAGTAGCTGGGACTACAGGCATGTGCCACCATGCCCGGCTAATTTTTTCTATATATATTAGTTGGCCAATTAATTTCTTTCTATTTATAGTAGAGACGGGGTCTCGCTCTTGCTCAGGTTGGTTTCGAACTCCAGAACTCAAACGATCCACCTGCCTCGGACTCCCAGAGTGCTAGGATAACAGGTGTGAGCCACCATGCCCAGCCAGACAAAGCTTTGTGTAAAGGCTTGGAATGTTTCAAGTTAAAATAAGGAAGCACAGATTCAAGTGATCTGTTAAGCAAATTGGTGCCTTACAGGTGTGATTTAACCCTTGTTTTGCATGGCCTTAGGTCCTGTTAATACTTTAGTATCTTATTGTCACAGAGTCTGGTTTTCAGTCTTATGATCTCTGTTTTAACGTTAATGCTGGTCAATTGTTGTATCTACATGCCAAAGGGGAGAGAGTATAAAGAAGTGTGGAACCTCCCTTCTCTTCATGGCCAGGAACTCAATTTTGAAGTTTTTCTGAGGTCCCCTTAGCCAAGAAGGGTTCTGTTCAATTGTGGGGATTTAGGATTTTATTTTTGTTTACATCATTATGAACACCTTGCATTAGTATGGTACATTTGTTAAAACTAATGAAACAATATTGATACATTATTTTTAACTAAAGTCCATAATTTATCCAGATTTCTTTAGTTGTTATCTAATGTCTTTTCTTATTCTGTTCCAGGATTCCAGATCACATTTAGTCACTGTGTCTCCTTAGGTTCCTCTTGGCTGTGACAGTTCCTCAGACCTTCCTTGATTTTGATAATTCCTTGACAGTGTTGAGGAGTACAGGTCAGGTATTTTCCAGAATTTCCCTCAGCTGGGATTTGTCTGCTGTTTTTTTCATAGTTAGACTGGGGTTATGGGTTTTTGAAAAAAGACCACAGAGGTAAAGTGCCACTTTTTTTTTTTTTTTTTTTTTGAGACAGAGTCTTACTCTGTTGCCCAGGCTAGAGTGAGTGCCGTGGCATCAGCCTAGCTCACAGCAACCTCAAACTCCTGGGCTCAAGCGATCCTCCTGCCTCAGCCTCCCAAGTAGCTGGGACTGCAGGCATGCGCCACCATGCCCGGCTAATTTTTTTTTTCTATAAATTTTTAGTGGGCCAATTAATTTATTTCTATTTTTAGTGGAGACGGGGGTCTCGCTCTTGCTCAGGCTGGTTTCAAACTCCTGACCTTGAGCAATCCACCTGCCTCGGCCTCCCAGAGTGCTAGGATGACAGGCGTGAGCCACCGCGCCCCGCCCAGTGAATCAATCTGTCTTCAGAGCTCGGCTCCCAACTCCCCCTTGGGCTACAGGCTAACCCAACACTGAGCCCTGGTCTTGGCCTTGCCCCTCCAAGCTTGTGGGGAGCAAGAATGCACCGCCTGGGCTGACAGCGGGGACGCCGTGACGCTCCCCGCCTCCCCTAGGGAAGAGGAAGAAGATGCACATTATCCGCAGCGCTGGTTGGACGCCTGGAGTCTAAGTCCAGCCCCAGCCTAGTGCCCCGTTGCGTGACCTTCGGCCTGTGGGATGTCGAGCGGGTCCCGGTGGCAGTTACGCGGCGGGCCGGCGGCGGGAGCGCGCACGTGTTCCCCGGCGAGCGGAACCTTGGAGGCGGCGGCTCCGGGGAGCCGGCGGCGCGGCCGGAGCGGCGGACCCGGCGGACCGGGGGGCGGGGCCGGCGGCCGGGGCGGGGCGGGAGGCGGAGGCGCCGCGTAGGCCCGGAGGCCGGGCGGGCCGGGCGGGGAGCTCCAGCCCCATGCGCCGCCGCCGCCCCCCACGATGTTCCCCGCGCGGAGGAAAGCGGCGCAGCTGCCCTGGGAGGACGGCAGGTGAGCGGCGGCGGCCGGCCCGGGCCCCGTCCTCCCGGTGCTGCTCGTTTCCAGGCCGCCCCGCGGGGTCTGGGAGGCTGAGGCCGTCGTGTCCCCGTTTCTGCGGGTCTCTGCGAGAGTCTGGTGCTCCTCGTGGGTCCCTGGCGCTCTCCGTATGGGTCCCTGTTTCTGAAACCAGTCTCCATCGCTCCGCGCGTCTCTGCCTCGGTATCCCTCTTTCCCCGTTGTCCTCCGTTTGTGAGTTTCTGTTCTCTTTGCCTCTCTCCCTCTCCTGTGTTTCCTTGTGTTTCTCCCACTGGCCTCTGTCTTCACGCAGGTCTGACTCCGCTGACCTCTCACGGTGGGTCTCTCTGTCTCTCTCTGCTCTCCGAGGCGCCTTCCGTTTCTCTGTTTCCTACCTCCCCCATCCTAAAGCCATGTAGCCTCAGACACTGACCTCCCTCCCTCGCGCTTCCCCATCCTTCTAGGAACACCCGGGACAACCCACCAGACAGACAGATGCTCTGTGTGCTCTGCCTGGCTGGCCACTGCCTGGCACGTACTGGGCAGTCCTCATACACGCAGTAGTTCATTTCCTGTGCGGCTGTCCTTGTCCTACGTGTAAGATGTGACCTATGCCTAGCCCTCAGCTAAACATGTTTCCCATTAAAACAGAAGGGGGGAAGCGATTTGGCTATCTAGGCTTGGGAGGACCACATGCGCCCCCAAGTCTTCTGACCTGGAACACGTAATGGTGGATGTCCACCCAGTGAATGGTGCCTCATTTCCATTTTCTCTTTAAGTTTGCCAGGTGCCATAAGATTCTGGAATTTAGTGGACACAACTCTTCTGGGCACTTTTCAGGCATGATGTTGAAATGAGAAGATGGGGATATAATAGAAAGCGTGGACTATGGAGTCAGGCCCACTGACCAGGAATCCTCTTTAATAATGTAACCAGGAACAGATCACTTAATCTTTCTGACCTCAGCCTTTCCATCTCTGAAACAGTGATCATAATACCTACTTTGCAGGGTTGCCTGAGGATTAAAGGAGAGCATTATATGTAAAACCCATGGCACCCTGCCTGGTACAGAAGAAGTGCCAGTTATCTTCTAGTTACTTTTGCAGCTTTGAGGAAAGCTCAGAGCAGCTGAGATTTCAGACCTGGTATTGCTAAGGTTTATATGAAAGAAGGAAGGAAAAGTAATAGAGGTGCATTTCTATTTCCTGATCACTTTCCATGACTGTGTTCCCAGAAAAATTTACTGGTGTGCTTTTTTTTTTTTTTTGAGACAGAGTCTCACTCTGTTGCTTGGGCTAGAGTGCCATGGCGTCAGCCTAGCTCACAGCAAGCAACCTCAGCCTCCTGGGCTCAAGCAATCCTTCTGCCTCAGCCTCCCAAGTAGCTGGGACTACAGGCATGCGCCACCATGCCCGGCTTAATTTTTTTCTATATATTTTTAGTTGGCCAATTAATTTCTTTCTATTTTTAGTAGAGATGGGATCTCGCTCTTGCTCAGGCTGGTTTCGAACTCCTGGATCTTTTTTTTTCGAGACAGAGCCTCACTTTGTTGCCCAGGCTAGAGTGAGTGCCGTGGTGTCAGCCTAGCTCACAGCAACCTCAATCTCCTGGGCTCAAGTGATCCTCCTGCCTCAGCCTCCCAAGTAGCTGGCACTACAGGCATGTGCCACCATGCCCGGCTAATTTTTTTTGGTATATGTATTTTTAGTTGGTCAATTAATTTCTTTCTATTTTTGGTAGAGATGGGGTCTCGCTCAGGCTGGTTTCAAACTCCCGGATCTTGATCGATCCACCTGCCTTGGTCTCCCAGAGTGCTAGGATTACAGGTGTGAGCCACCATGCCTGGCCTACTGGTGTGCTTTTGATACAGGGTGCAAAGACCCATCTGACAGATGCAGGCTAGTGTAGCAGTGAAGTGCTGGCTCTGGATCCAGCCTGCCTGCGTTTGAATCCACCTCTTACCAGCCGTGGTGAATACCTGGTGCAGGAGACAAAGTCTCATCTGGGCTACCCCTCAGAGTCAGGCTGGCCTGGGCCTGGGAGCAACCAGATTGCAGATCTGTCATTTGCCACCAGGTGGCACCAGGAGTAACTGTTTTTGGTGTCCACTGTCCTGAGGATTTGGGAGGCTGGGCCCAGTTCAATTGCTCAGTGGTTTGTACCCTCAGAACACAGGACAAGAGTGCTCATGGGGCCGTGATCCTGATAGGAAGGGGGAGCAGGCTGGAGGAAATAGCATGTGGAAGTGCATGGAATGCCAGTCCATGCCACACCCCTGGATAACAGCCACTGCTTCTTTTCCCAAAGGCGAGATGTTACCCTTTATCCATCTCCCCAGTCTGTACCCCATCCCCAGAAAGAGCCCAGAGGGAGAATCTGTAGAGGTTCAAGTCTTCCTGGGCCACTTGCAGGACTGGGCTCCGCTCCTCCCCAGCAGAAACCACTACCACAGCACAGCGGGGGGTAAGTCAGAAGCCCTGTGAGTGTGTCTTGCGGTGCCACCTCTCAGCTGCGTGTGGGACCTGGGCCTGGCTTCAGGGCTGCTGGCTTCCAGGTTGGCAACTGTGTCTCTAGAGAAGGGTAGGAGTTGGTCTGGCTCTAGTGTGTGGCTTAAAGCATGCCCTGAATGCTTTAACCCTTCCTTTAACTCACTTAGCAAACCCTCTGCCGTCTGACCTGTGCCGGGGCCATAGGTATGAATCTGATGTGGTGTGACAAGCATTACAAATAAGTGCTTTAAAGAGGGAAGTAAGATGCCATGGGAACACAAAGGAGGAGGCATGGTGGGGGGAGGGGCGGTGCTGGCCTTGGCATTGGAGTCTGGCCCTGAAGGATCAACAGGGGGCTTCCAGGCAGATAAAAATAAAGAAGGACATTTCAGGCAGAAGGAGTGGCCGTGCAAGGGCTGGAACAGGAAGGAATGTAGCGAGTGGAGAAGCTCTGAGTCCTCCAGCGTGACTTGGCTTGGGAGCAACTAGAGATGGCCGGGTCACAGAGGGCTTTAACTGTCAGGCCAGAGAGTTTTGCCTTTACCTTGTAAATAGAGGAGAGTCACTCAGGAGGCTGAAGGGGTCTGAGCAGGGCAAGAAACAGAGAGTGAGAAAGGACCAAAGGGGGACTTAGGAGGAAGAATCTATAAGGCTAATGCTGGCTTTGGGAGGTCACCAAGTGATTCCTGTGCAGATGATTTCAGGGAGCAGTGGGAGGGGAATATAGAGGAAGCTTCCGTCTTGAATTCCTCAGCTCCTCTCTCACCATACTCAGGAACTTCCAGAGGAGGGGGCAAAGGCACCCGGTGAATTCCACCTGTTTCTTTGTGTGTGTGCTGCCCAAAAGAGCAGCCTCCTAGCAATGTCTAAGATGTTCAGCTATTTTTCCAGTTTCCAAAGTGAGCTTGGGTGCTATACCCAGCCATCGTCTTCCTTTCCTTCTTATTCTGTCTCTTTTCACATGGGCTGGCTCTTGGTCTGAAGCTCTGAGACACATTAGTGAATTCCTGTTGTCCGTTTGGGCCTTGCATTGCTTTGGGAGCAGGCCTGATCTTCCCAGCAGAAAACTGATTCTCCAGAGAAAACTGGTTGTCTCCCCTGGGCCTGATGCCAGCACTCATCCCTGTCTGCTCAGCCTCAGAGCAGGACAAAGCCAGAGTTTCTGCCGGGGTGGATCTTCGGGGTAGCAGGTTTGGAAGGCCGTGGGTCGGAGCTCTCTAAGGTGGGGCTCCTGCATTCGGCTCGGGACACAGAGCCAGTGCCTGGGGAGGGCAAGCTCAAGGCCCTCGAGCAGCTCACAGTCTGGCCAGGATTCACTCGCAGAAAATAAGAGCATAGAGGCACGGGGGCAGCTCTGTGGCCTGAGAGAGGTCAGGCGGCTTCCCAGAGGGGGTGGCATGAGTGGATCCAGAGTGTGCGCTGGGAGCATGAGGGGAAACAGCACAGTTGCTTCTGCACTAATTCCCAGGTGCCCAGGGCAGACCAGGTGTGCGCACCCTACCTGTGGGGAGGCCAGAGAAGGGTCTGTCCGAGGGCCCCAGCTCAGCCCGCCCTTCTGACCCAGTCCTGCTCTTGTCCCAGGTCCAGGTTGCTCCCCGGCGGCCTCCCCCGGAAATGCTCCGTCTTCCATCTCTTCGTTGCCTGTCTCTTATTGGGCTTCTTCTCCCTACTCTGGCTGCAGCTCAGCTGCTCTGGTGACGTGGCCCAGGCAGCCAGGGGACAAGGGCAGGAGGCCTCGGGGCCACCCCGGGCCTGCCCCCCAGAGCCACCCCCTGAGCACTGGGAAGAAGACGCATCATGGGGCCCCCACCGCCTGGCAGTGCTGGTGCCCTTCCGAGAGCGCTTCGAGGAGCTGCTGGTCTTTGTGCCGCACATGCACCGCTTCCTGAGCAGGAAGAGGGTCCCGCACCACATCTACGTGCTCAACCAGGTGGATCATTTCAGGTAGGGACCACCCCTGCCCCCCCCAGCCCCAACCGAGCACTCCTCTCCTGGGCCTCCCCTGGCCCCGGCCCCTCAGGGCCTGCTCCCTGTCCTGGCAGTAGTCCAGAGGCCTGCGAGGGGCCACCTGGGGCAGTGGCAGGAGGGCGGGAGATGGCGGAAGCCCCTGCTGGGTATGGCAGGAATCTCTGGGGAGGGAGGGCCCTGATCTAATGTCCATGTTATAAAATCACTGTGGCTGCTGTATGTAAAATAGATTATACTGGGACCAGAGAAGGAGCAGGGAGACCAGCCAGGTGTAGTGGCGACTGTCTGAGATGTGATGGATGCAGCCAGGCCCCGTGGAGATGGGCCAGTGGTTGGGGAAAGGGAGGGTCAGGCTCACGGCTTTAAATTTGCCCACAGTCTAATGTTACCCCAAAATCCTCACCCTTACCCAAAACTGCTCCCCTCGGTGACCACAGTGTGAGCACCTTACCCTAGGCCCACACCTGCTTCCCCTCAGCCCTCCCTGCTGGAAGGTGACTGCAATTCTGGGCCTGCCCAGCCTGCTAGCCCCCACCTTTCACCACCACCCCGGCTTTCTTCTTTCTCACCCCACCCGAGTTCCAGTCCATCATTGAAATCACTCCCTCAAGCCCTGGCCGCTTTCTGGCTGGCATGTGGCAGCCTGGCAGATCCCACTCCGTCTGTTCCACCCCCTGCTGACGCGCCCCCCCAGGAAGGCCCCCAGTCTGTCCATGGCAGCCTTCGACCTTCTGCTCTCATTCCTCCCCGTCCTCACGCTGAGCTGATAACTTTGCTTCAGATCTGAGAAAACTGCAGACAACTTCCCCCAGTCCCCACACCTGCATCCCCCTCCCAGCTTCTGCTCATGGGGGTCCTCCCTGGCCGACTCCCCCACCCGGGCCCCCGGCCTTCCTCAGCACACACCGAACTGAGATAGTGCCCCTCGAAAAAGAAAAAGACTCCCTTGAGCCCACATGCCCCGCAGCTATCACCCCACTTTTCTGCTCCCCTTTTTAGCAAAACTTCCCTTTCTTTCCCCTCATGTCTCTTGAACCACTTCCACTGAGACGCCTGCCCCATCGTGGCACCGAAGCCACTCTCATTGAGGTTGCCGAGGTCTTCCTCTTCCTTAACCCAAGGCGTGGGCCTGTCGGCAGCATTTGTTGCTTCCTTCTTAAAGCGCCCCGCTTGATGTCTGGGACAGCACTGTCCACGTTGGCCACCCCTTCTCGTCACCTTGCTGGTTCTGCATCACCTCCCTGGTCTCCCACTATTGGCACTCTTGAGGCTCAGTGGTTGGGTGGCCCCCTTTTCTAGCTACAGCACTCCCTGGGGGAGCTCGTCTCATCTCGTGGCATAGAATCCTGCCTCTACCCTGGTCGCCCCCAGGTCTGTGTTCCTGGCCCGGACCTCTCTCCTGAACTCCAGGCTCTCCAGCCCGGCCACCTGTGTGGCCCTTCGTGGGTGGCTCAGAGGCTTTGCGAGCTTGCTGTGATCACGGGGGGATTTCTGAGGGCCCCTCAAGCCCAGACCTGCTGCCTGCCCTTCCCTCTTGCCCGTCTCAGGAATGGAAGCTCCAGGCTTCCAGTTGCTCAGACCAGACAGCTCTGCAGTTGTCCTCAACCGCCCTTTCTCTGTCACACACACATCCAGTCCATCGGCAAAACGCAGCTGGAATTTGCCAGCGTCTCCCCGTTGCCACGCTAGGCCGCCGTCGTCTCTTGCCCGAGTCACTGTCATGCCTCCTCCTGGAGTCCCGGCTTCCCCCTGCCCTGACTCCGACTAGAGTGGTCCTGCGCACACGGAAGTCCCAGCATGGTCTGCCCCTGCTCGGAGCCCTGCAAGCTCGCCCGGGGTCAGGGCCCCGTCCTCCAGTGGCGCACGGGCCTCATCCCGACCTCACGCCCTCTGCCCCTCGCTCTGCCGGCCGCCCGCCGTCTGCTCCTGCCCCGGGCCCTGCAGTGCTGCTGCTCAAGCCCTGTGCCATGCGGCCCGTTTCCTCAGCCTCAGGTTTCTGCTGGGGCATGCCCCACTGCCCTGGGGCACAGCTGCCCCACAGCACCGACGCTCGTTTGTTTTTGTCTCTTTAATTAGAGCGTTGGCTGCTTGAGAGCAGGGCCTGGTTTCTCCGCCGCTGCAGGCGCAGTGCTGTGAGAGTTCTGGGAGTAGGTGCTCAGTAAGCGTGTGCGCAGCGAGGGCAGGGGACGGTCAGTGCCAGGCTGGAGGGCGGCAGCGGCACCGCAGGGCCCGGGGTGGGTGCTGTGGAGGAGTCGCCCGCCCTGCAGCCCGGCCGCCCTGCACAGGTTCAACCGGGCGGCGCTCATCAACGTGGGCTTCCTGGAGAGCGGCAACGGCACAGACTACATCGCCATGCACGACGTGGACCTGCTGCCTCTCAACGAGGCGCTGGACTACGGCTTCCCGGAGGCCGGGCCCTTCCACGTGGCCTCCCCGGAGCTCCACCCCCTCTACCACTACAAGACCTACGTCGGTGGCATCCTGTTGCTCTCCAAGCAGCACTACCAGCTGGTGAGGCCCGGCTCGGCCCTGGCTGCTCAGCCTGGGCAGGGGTGGAAGGCCGGGTGGGGCGGTGCTCCCGGGCCCAGGAGACGGCGCCCGCCTTGCCCTGCAGGAGTGGCAGCTCAGCGGCAGGAACAGAAGCGCCCTGCGAGTGGGCTGCGGAACTCTGGGGATTTGTTGGCCCTTGACAGTGACGAGTGTGGGGAGGGTTTGGCCTCAGGTACGGCTTGCCCACCTCTCAGACGGTGTCGCCAGGGCCCCATTTCTCTGTCCATCCCTCAGCTCTGCCTTCCCCACATGGGGCTTATTTTCAGGCGTGCAGGAGGCACAGTGGCTGTCGTGGCTGCAGCCTGTGTCCCTCTCGGCTGCAGTCTGGTGGAAGGTGGGTCCCCTTCCACAGCAGCCCGGACGGGACTCCCAGGACTGACCCGCACTGGCTTTTATTGTCCAGCTTGAGTCCTGGGCCCATCCCTGAATCATTCACTGCTGGGGGATGGGAGGGTGGGAAAAACCGGGTGGCTTAGGCCTAAGTCTCCTCTCTCCAAGCTGTGTCAAAAGCCAGCCGTATGTAGGCAAAGCCCCGAGCAGGATGCAAGGATAGCTGTCCGCACGGGCCCAGCCGTGCCTGTCACACGGGGAGGGACTAGGCAGGCTGCCCAGGAGGAATGGGAGCATGGGGGAGGCAGAATTCAAGTGGGACATCGACAGCTCCCAAGAGAGGTCCCCTCTGACCAGCAGGACACTTGTGAGGTGACACCTACAGCAGTTCAAGGGCCCATTGGAACAGGGAGAGGGACTGGCAGGTGCTGAGCCTCCTCCGTCCCCCAGTGTCGCAGAGGCTCGGGGAGGTGAGCCAGAGCGGCCAGGGAGGAGGAGGACGATCGGTCTGGGCACACCCGAGGGGTGGGAGACCAAAGGGCACCCCTGGAGGACAGGGCCAGTGACGCTGCCTGTCTCTGTGTCAGTGCAACGGGATGTCCAACCGCTTCTGGGGCTGGGGCCGAGAGGACGACGAGTTCTACCGGCGCATTAAAGGAGCCGGGCTCCAGGTGAGGCTCCCCCGGGCCCTGCCTCAGCCTCAGCCGTCGTGGCTGCCCTGAGGTTCTCTTCTTTGTCCTCAGATGAAGATCCTAGGGCTGTGGAGATGGCACCCTGGTTCTTTTTTTTTTTTTTTGAGACAGAGTCTCGCTTTGTTGCCCAGGCTAGAGTGAGTGCCGTGGCGTCAGCCTAGCTCACAGCAACCTCAAACTCCTGGGCTCAAGCAATCCTCCTGCCTCAGCCTCCCGAGGAGCTGGGACTACAGGCATGCGCCACCATGCCCGGCTAATTTTTTCTATATATGTTAGTTGGCCAATTAATTTATTTCTATTTTTAATAGAGACGGGGTCTTGCTCTTGCTCAGGCTGGTTTCGAACTCCTGTCCTTGAGCAATCTGCCCGCCTTGGCCTCCCAGAGTGCTAGGATTGCAGGCATGAGCTGCTGCGCCTGGCCGCACCCCTGGTTCTGAGCCCTGTCCCACCTGACTTGCGGTGGTCATCGCCTAGTCCCTGCTCTCCGGGCCGCAGTGTCCTCTAGCGCAGGCTGGGAACGCAGGCCTCTGCCGGTGGCTTCCGGGCAGGCAGCGGGACCTCAGGGGAGCTAGTGGTGCGGGCCGGGGCTCCAGGAGGGATGACCTGACCCCGACTTGCCTTGGCCTCCTAGCTTTTCCGGCCCTCGGGAATCACAACTGGCTACAAGACGTTCCGCCACCTGCACGACCCGGCCTGGCGGAAGAGGGACCAGAAGCGCGTCGCAGCTCAGAAACAGGTGCTGGCTGGTCTCCTCGTCGGGCACAGACAGGTGGTGTGTGGGGACCAACAGGCCCGAGCGTTTCACCAGGTTCTCCTTGGGCCCGCGTGGCCGTCTGTCCTCCCCTGCTTGGGCAGGTCAGTGACGGGCATCGTGCTTGGCACCGTGCCCTGCTCTGGTGGCTGCCATGAGCACCCTGGGCACTGTGGTCCGCCCAGACCCCAGGCTCCATGCAGGCTGGCAGGGTGCGGAGGGTGAGGCTCAGCTGTCACACCGCGATGCAGGGATCCCTGCCCCTCCCCAGCCTCTTCTCCAGCAGGAGACTCCCCGCTCCTGCCGACTGGCGGCGTGCAGCCTTGGGCGGGAGACTGCCTCCCCTGAGCTTTATAGGTTCCTCCTCTTGTCAGTGGGGATTCCAGGACATTGTGGTGACAAGGTCGCGTGGGCTCAGTGACAGCGGGGACCCATGGAGCCCTGAGTACATGTGCTGTCAACTTCATTGGCAGGAGCAATTCAAGGTGGACCGGGAGGGCGGCCTGAGCACTGTGAAGTACCGTGTGGACTCCCGCACCGCGCTGTCTGTGGGCGGGGCCCCCTGCACCGTCCTCAACATCATGCTGGACTGTGACAAGGCCGCCACCCCCTGGTGCACACTTGGCTGAGCAGGCGGGACGGTGAGGAAGCCCATGCTTGCAGGCCGCTTTGCTGCTACGCCCGGGACAAGGCCCCCTGCCCGGCTCCGCGGGACGGGCTGGCAAGCTACGCCCTCCCTCTCGGCAGCCCAGCCCCAGAGGCAGGCTCGAGCTGGGACAGGACACACTGGCTGCCTGGGACACTGCTAGCAAGGAACAGAGATCACAGAGGCTGGGATGTGGCTCCGGACTGGGACTCCCCCTCCCTCCCCACTCGCCCTGCTCTGCCCTGCTGAGGCCTGCGGGCAGTGGGGAGGGTGGAGCGGGGCGCCCCTCGCCCACCTCCTTTTCCTTCCTTCCCACCGGCCGCCGCGGGCAGAGACACAGTTTGGGAGCCGTGCGGCTGATTCGGTGGCAGTTGTGACTGGGGGGGTCAGAACTCCAAACACCAGAGTACAAGTCCCACAGAAAGAACGGCCAGCTGCAGCTCTGGCTGGTTGTCACCATGCAGGAATGTGGGTCTAGTGTCACCAGATCTTCTGATTTCTCAAAAGAAACCAGGATGCTGGATTCTTAAGCGAAATCTGATTTTTAAATGGTAGCAACTCAATGAAACTTTCAAAAAGTATGGCAGGCCAAACGAAACGCGCTGTGGTCCATCACCCTCGTCGGAGGGGAAGGGGCAGGGGCAAAAGGTGGTACCTTTCTTAGCCGTAAGCTGGCAAGGAGTCGGGGAAGGGCTGGGGCAGGGCCGGGGTGGGGGGGGGGGAGGCAAAGGCGTGAGGCTCCTGTGCCCGCAGCCCTCCAGGCTCCTGCTGGCTCCCTGCTGCCCCTCTTGGCCGTCTGACCCGGGGCTGGGCATTGGTCCTGCCTCGCTGAGGTCGAGTCAGGAAAGAGCTGCTGAAGAAACGGACGCACAGGCCTGGACTCAGGGAAGCGGGACGTGGCGACGCCTCAGCCTAGAGGGAGGGGACCTGGATTCTGAGGTGTAGGGGAAGAAGATGGGGGAGAAGTAGGGGGATCCCAGAGTGTTCCCAAAAGCATGAGGGCAGGTGGCAGTGATCACTGAGCGCCACGATCACCCATCCAAGTGCCAAGTGACGAGTGCCAGGGGAGGCGAAGGAGGAGCAGCCGAGGGGAGCATAGACTTGGGGAGTGCTCCTGGCGGAATCCCTCAGAGGAAAGGCTAGAACTCCTGAGAGGGGAGGTGAGGGCTCTGCAAGGCAGCGCACCTTCCAGGTGTGTGTGTGTGGCTGCCACTGACTTGGGCGGGAGTCAGAGGAGACTGTCGGTCAGGCTGTGAGGGTAGGTTGGTTTGGCGCTGGGACGCCTGCAGTGCTGGGGAGGGAAGGGATTGAGGCCCTAGAGTGCAGGAAGGCAGACCCACAGCCCTGGTCCAAAAGACTCTGCTGAGGATGATCCCAGGGCTGCTGTGCGCAGTCGTGTGGGTTGTGGGCTGTGCAACCCGTGTACGAGCCGGGAGACCTAAGCAGAGATGGCTGGGGTAAAGCTTCAGACTCAGACGTTTAACCAGGGTCGTTGTGAGCCTAAACTGACCTTGCCCAGCGATCCAGCTCCACCCACGGCGGTGAGGGGCACACAGGTCTCGACCGCGGTGCAGGGACGCTTTCCGTGTGCCAGTCTCCTGGGCAAGCCAGCGGCCGCATCGTGGACTCACACGTAACACGGAGCAGTAACACCAGCGTCTCGGAGTTGGTGGGAATGGGTGTGATGTCAAAGTCCCGCGCTCTGTACTCTCCTGGCACATGAAGAAAATGGGGGGTTCCTTCCTGTCCCCCTGCACTAGGGGAGTGGAACGCGCAGAAGAAAAGACGATCCCTTCACCTTGCGGGGCACCCTGGCCTGGGCACACTCGCAGCCCTGAGTCCCTGCACTACCCTGGCCGCTGCCCCCACTGCCACCTTCAAGGCTCCGCGGGATGCCCCATGCCAGGCTGATGCAGCCCAAATCCACAGCCCGCTACCCCCCGTCCTGGGCCTCTGCCACTCTCCAGGGAAGGGAGAGAGCTGAGCCGAGGTCGGCCGGGAGAAGCGGGCAGCCCACTGCTTCCTTAGTGGAACTAACATCCCCGCCTGGCCGGCCAGGGTGCAGGTCAAGTGAAGTCAGGACAGGCCGGGGTGGTGGCTCACACCTGTAATCCAAGCACTCTGGGAGGCCAAGGTGGGAGGATCGCTTGAGCTCATGAGTTCGAGACCAGCCTGAGCAAGAGTGAGACCCCGTCTCTACTAAAAATAGAAAACTAGCCGGGCATGGTGGTGGCACCTGTAGTCCTAGCTACTCGGGAGGCCGAGGCAGGAGGATCACTTGAGCCCAGGAATTGGAGGTTGCAGTGAGCTATGAGGACATGACTGCACTCTACCCAGAAAACAGAGTGAGACTCTGTCTCAAAAAAACTAAATAAATAGCCGGGTGCAGTGGCTCATGCCTGTAATTCTAGCACTCTGGGAGGCCGAGGCGGGTGGATTGCTCGAGGTCAGGAGTTCGAAACCAGCCTGAGCAAGAGCGAGACCCCGTCTCTACTATAAATAGAAAGAAATTAATTGGCCAACTAATATATATAGAAAAAATTAGCCGGGCATGGTGGCCCATGCCTGTAGTCCCAGCTACTAGGGAGGCTGAGGCAGAAGGATTGCTTGAGGCCAGGAGTTTGAGGTTGCTGTGAGCTGGGCTAACGCCACGGCACTTACTCTAGCCTGGGCAACAAAGCGAGACTCTGTCTCAAAAAAAAATAAAATAAAAAGAAAGAAAGAAAGAAAAGGAAGACAGGGTTCTGGCTACTGGAGAGGTCCCTTGGGGCTGGGGACCACGGACAGGCATCAGTGGGACCCAAGCGCAGCACCGACTGGGCTACGCACAGAGTGTTTGAGGGAGGCTCCCCAGGGAGGCGAAGCTTTGCTGGTGGGGGGAGAGTTTGCCAGTTAGGATGGGGAGGGCTTCCAGAGGGACCAGCGTGTGCAAAGCCAGAGAGGGGGGAGAGAGCATGTTGTGTCCGGGGACGTGGGAGTAGCTCGAGGTGTCCCTGGCATCCCAGTTCTGTGCAGGAGCGTGGGGGGGTGGGGCACAGAGGGAAGGCTAGGGTGAATCCCCAGTGAATGCCACACTAAGCAACTGGGACTTTATTCTAGGGTGCAGGGCTTCCAAGCAGGGGACAGTTTTTGAGCTGGGTAGGTCTGTGTTCTAGAAAGATCTTTTTGGGGGCAGGACCCAGGGTGGGCTGTAGGATGGAATCTGAGGAGGGAGAGAGCCCAAATGAGAGATGATGGAGCCAGAATGAGGCAGCGGACGGGGGTGTGGCAGGAGGGAGGTCTGCTGAGCCCAGACACCATTAGGCGGGGGCTGGCTCCACGGCACGTCTTGTTTCCCATACGGATGTACCATCTCAGCCCTGGTTCCTTGAGAACGTTTTTACAAAACAAAAACAAAGGGAAAAGCAAATTCCGGTTCCAGCATCAACACGCAAAGAGCTTGGAAGTCATCATTCCCATGTGCACAACGAGAAAGAGCCACCACACACCCGGCCTCCTGTTTTAGAGGCACCAGAACAATCTCCATAATGAGCCTACTCCCCAGGAAAGGGGATGGTCAGAGCCATCTCACCTGGGGTTAGAGTAATTACCCAACTCCAGCCCCCTCTAGCCTTCATAACTCACCTGGGGCGGGGGAGATAAAGCCGAGTCACCTGTGAAGCTCATAGCTCAGGGACAGAGACCCACTAAAAGAATCATAAAATTAGAAGAGGCTTCCCCTTCTGTAAACCTCGGTGAATTACAACTGGGAGAGCTTCTAGGCATAGATTATATTTAAGAGGTTCTTAGGGAAACCCAAAGACAACAGAGGAGAAAAAACCAGGGAGAGTAGAGGAATCTAAAGCCTCTGGCACTTAAATTTACATTAAACATTAAAACTAACCCAACTCCTAATCAGATTAATATCAAATGTTACGCTAAGGTTCTATTTATGTCAGATTTACCCAATAAACTGACATGCTGAATGGCAGGAAAACATGCTGCAGAGACAAGGCGAGCATTAGAATCAAGCTTAGATATGACTAGGTTCAGATGGGACAGATTTTGGAGTTATCAGACAAAATTTAAAGGCCAGGCGAGGTAGCTCACGCCTGCAATCCTAGCACTCTGGGAGGCCAAGGCGGGAGGATCGCTCAAGCTCAGAAGTTTAAGACCAGCCTGAGCAAGGAAGGGACCCCGTCTCTACTAAAAATAGATAGCTAAGTTATTGCAACCTTTAATAATTCTCTTTTTTTTTTTTTTTTGAGACAGAGTCTCGCTGTGTTGCCCAGGCTAGAGTGAGTGCCGTGGCATCAGCCTAGCTCACAGAAACCCCAAACTCCTAGACTCAAGCAATCCTACCTCAGCCTCCCGAGTAGCTGGGACTACAGGCATGCGCCACCATGCCCGGCTGATTTTTTCTATATATATATTAGTTGGCCAATTAATTTCTTTCTATTTATAGTAGAGACGGGGGTCTTGCTCTTGCTCAGGCTGGTTTCGAACTCCTGACCTCGAGCGATCTGCCCGCCTCGGCCTCCCGGAGTGCTAGGATTACAGGCGGGAGCCACTGCGCCCGGCCTAGTTATTGTAAGCTTTAATAATTCTTGTACATAGACAGGCTCTACCCTCACCTCTGCCTAACCCAACTGGAAATCCCTGGCGAGTGGAGCTCTGTTTGCGAGCCCATGAAGACCAGCAGGGGAAGGAACAGGACACTTGGAGTCAGGTAGATCGGGGCACCCTGCCAGGACTCACTGAGTGACCTCAGCCAGTCACTGAACCACTCCTCCTTCTTGGAACCCACACCTCCCCTGCCTGGTCATCCAGCCAGGAGCCCTGTCCCCATGAAGAGCCCAGCCCTGCCCATCGCTGCCTCTGCCCTGTGCCCGCTCGCGGCTCACACACCCCGCCCTCAGCTTCACACCCACCTCACACCGGGACAGCCTCGTCCCACCCCTGATTTCATCCTCGCCACCATCCTGAGAGCTACCTGTTCATATCTCTGCGTGATGGAGTCAGGACTCCCAACACGTTTGTGGACTATTAAAGGCCAACACCAGGACTCAGTCTCTCTGACAGCTTATAACTGTGAATCAGAAAATACACGGACTTGCCGGGCGCGGTGGCTCACGCCTGTAATGCCAGCTCTCTGGGAGGCTGAGGCGGGCGGATTGCTCAAGGTCAGGAGTTCGAAACCAGCCTGAGCAAGAGCGAGACCCCGTCTCTACTATAAATAGAAAGAAATTAATTGGCCAACTATGGTATATATATATATACACACCTGTGGAAGACTCCCTATTTTATATATCTCCACACTCAAGTCTGCAAGTGCATACATTCTCACTTGGACCTCCCAAAGCCTCGTCAAATATATATGCCCAAAGCCAAACCACGGACCTTCTCTCATCAACTTGTTCTTCCTCGGAGACACCCTGTCTCAGACTGGGACCGTCACCCATTCGGTTACTTGTGCCAAAAACTTGGGGCACACCCCCCTCACCTCCCTCACCTCCCAGACACAACCTAATGCCAAGTCCTGTCAACTCAGCAGCCAGAGTCTCTCTGAAATCTGTCTCTTTTCCAACTCTACCTCCAATGCCCTCATCCAAGCTCATG